CCCACTCCTGCCTTAGACCAGCACAGCTACAACCGACATGCCTGAAACACGCATGACTCAGTGGAGCGTTTCATTTGGAATCTGCCCCATTTCATCTTTAAATGTACTCTCAGCTAGAAAAATATGCCTTTTATTGAAACCCTAGAGAGATGGCATCTGATAAATCCTGAGAGGACTGACTGAGAGCTTGTGGTTCTTAGTGTATCATTAATCTGTAGCAAAAAAGTGTGCTCCAGATTCACCATGTAACTTTAGAGTAAATAACATGGTTAGGGGAGTAACGGTAGCATTAGTGAAGGGAGCCTTGATATTTTGAGTGGTCTGCCTGGCAGTGTTCAAAGAGGGCATCAGGAGCCATTTAGATAGGCTTGACTTAACGTAGGCATTTGTCTGGACATTGCAACTTGTACTTTTTACCCATTTTTCTTTCCCTTTATTAATAAACTTGCTGTAACTTTCAGGCTCTGGACAATATCTTGTCTTCTGTCCATCCCTAGGGGATAGGCAGACATAGCAGTTGTATGGGTATCAAATCATGCAGCTCTAAGCTGTCATGCTGTCATGTGTGTTTGCTTCTGTAGAGATACAAATGTAACAAAACCCTTATGACTTAAAGGGTTAAAGTTCAAGCCATTTAGCTGACTTGTATCATTACAGGAAGATGCAGATATAACTGTTACATCCCAGCAGCTGATCTCCAAAGCAGTACTTCTCCCTCCTATATTAGAGCACTTGAAAGGTTTATTTGTTTCTACCCTCTTCATACGTCAAGACACCAGGGATATAGAAAGTTCAATTCATTTGATCTATAATTAACTTCCTCTGTCTTCCCTCCTCAGGCGGCTCGGTGCTGAGCTGGGAAAATCTGTGGTGTACCAGGAGACCAATGGAGGTAAGTCAGAGCTACTGTGCTTATGAAAATGTTCCGCAACTAACTTTAGAAAAGGGTAGCAAATCTGCTAACCACATCAGAGAGTCATAAGGATGACCCGGTGACACATGTTACAGTAAGAGCTGTTACGACTTCAGTCAGGAGAGCACTTCTGCTCCTAGCTCTGCCTAATTCATCTATGATGCTGAGCAGTTTGATTCAATTTGGCTGTGCCTTAATTTGCCCAGCCTGTAAAGGGACTGCTTTGTTTGTGAAATACTGAGAAAGCAGCGGAGAACAGCTACAGTAAAAGCTTTGTTATCCGGCACCCACAGGGAATGGAGGGTGCCAGATAACAAAATATGCCGGATAACTAAGCGGCCCAAACAGGCGTCTTTGCCTGTTCGGGCCGCCGCCTGTCCTGCTGCATCTGGGGTGTTGCCACCCCTCCTGTGGGCCCCAAGGGACAGGGAGGGGGGACGCACGCAGCCTGCGATGCCCCCCAGCTGTGGGGGTTTGGCAGCGCAGGCTGCTTTCCCTCAGGCCATGAGGGCTCTGCGAAATCAGAAGTGCCACAGTGGGCACTTCCAGTTTCACTTTTCCCTTACAAACCCTTACAAGCTGGCATGCCAGTTAACAGAGCATGCCAGCTTGTAAGGTGCTGGTTAACACAGCTTTTGCTGTAAAATCTAAATTCAGATAATTGTTTTATTGCAAATGTCTTTCACATTTAAAAAAAAAAAAAAAAAAAAGCCAGTGTCTGCTCTTTAAACTTATTTGAATCATAAGATGGGATATTTCTGTCCTGTCGCACTGAAGAGAGTGCAAATTTGAAGAGTTCCAAGATGAAGTATGTTCTGGAGGTTTGACCTCATCTCCTACTTCATCATATTAAATACTTGTTTTCAGATGTCAGAGTGCTCTGTTGCAACGCCTTTATTAGCCAACAGTAGAGCCCAGTGGCCTCACTATAATTTAGCACTTGCAAGCCCTTCTCTGCCATATGTATTAAGGGAAAACAAAGAGAGGAGAAACGATGTCACAGAGTACCCGAAGTGGAAGTCTAGACAGCAAGTTCTGTAACTGGAGAGGGAACCTAGCCCTGAGAGACGGTCCGACCCGAACAAGATGAAACCTTGTGCCAGAGCAAGGCCTGGCCAGCTGACCTCTGTGACTGCATGGTGCACAGGGTGATATATAATCCTGTAAGGAACTCCAGTCCTAGGTATCAAGTGCTTTATATATCCGCCATAAGACCTTGCCATGTGGATACCTGGCATGTTGATTTGGTGCAACTGTAAGTAAAGCATCGCTAATGTTGCATGGATGAGGCCCAGGAAGAAGTGCGTAACGCCAGTCAGCGTTCCTCTGAGCTGAATGGCGTGCACGGCCGTGCAGATACTCTCATGCCGTGCTGCCAGGCACGCCTGCATGTGCCGCACAGCTTAGAGGGAATGCTGATGCCAGTGTGCTGACCCAGCTCCATCAACAGGCCCAGTGGGTGGTGGTGCTGCCTCTGTGCTTCCAGAGGATCACTCCTGGTTTGTTCTCTTATATTCAGGAGCTGCCATTCTAACTTCTGGGTACTGATTGTGGCTCCCTTCCAGCAAAAGCACTAGCTTTGGTTCTTGCTGGCTGCCTCCTTGCATTGAGCGTACTGGGGCGTTTGCCCCAGGGTCCAAAGTGCTCCTTCCTCGTAGCAGATGGTGAATCTTTCAGCTATCTAACCCCTTCGAAGCTATCAAGATTGGCCAAATGGTTGGACTTTGAAGTTGGCAGCTCAGTATACTTTCCCCTTCTCACTGCCTGTATCCTCTTGTAAGGTTTTTAAAAAAAATCATTCTTGTATGGAAAAAGAATGGTTAAAAATAGCCTTCAAAACCCAGTGGGCCTGCTCTCACTTGCAGAGCTGCTTTAGAAGTGGCTTTATTGCAAATTGGCATTCAAACAGTAGGCTGAGATGAATGACCTGGAGGCTTTGATTTCCAACATGCAACTTTCCATTCCCTGTCAGGGTTGACATTTCTGTTTGCTTCACAAGGAAACTGTGTGAAGGGAGGGGGACAGGGAGACTTATTCCCACTTTGAACTCAATATTGCCAATGGTCCTGTACCCTCTCCCACAGGCACAGAGCTGATGTTGAATTTAAGGCACATGCCACCCACTGTTGCCACCAAATTCAACTCTCCCCACTGCCACTGGGGACAGGAATTAGTGATGTGGTGGTGGCGGCAGCAGGGTGCCTGGATGCTGTGGTGTAGGGGGAGCAGTAAAGGGTCCAAATAAAGGCTTTATAGATGCTTTGAATGTGTTAGTTCTTTTTTCACTGGGTGTGGCACCAACAGCTGTCAGTGCCAAGAGAAAGGAGGTAAAAACCTGAGCACAGCTTCGTGCTGCCTATAAGGGTTGAATGGTTCCCTTCTCCCCCATAAGGTTATTGCTGTTCAGGCTAATAATATAGGGAGAACTAAGCTACGTCACTGGGACCTCATACAAACTCGGTTCCCAAAGCTGGCCACCCTTCCGGAATATCCATTTGGCTCTTTCCTTCAGGCTTACCTAGGCTGATATGCAAGTCTCCTCTACATGGGTGGGTTTTTGTAACTTCTGTTGCTCTCACGCCTTCCCCCTGAACATAACAGCAGTTTTGCCCAGCTCGCTGCTTAATGCACTTCCTTCTTAAGCAGCTTGGTTGAGAACTGACTGCATGTTTCTGTCCTCTTCAGAAACAAGAGTTGAAATAAAAGAATCCGTCCGGGGCCAGGATATTTTCATTATACAGACAATACCCAGGTAAGCAACCTATGGCTTTGTTTTACAACTCTGATCAAGAGTCTATCTACAGGGAGTGTCCTGGAATTTCCAGCTCTGTGGCCTTGTTCTGCAGTGGGTGTGGTGTGTCTGTCCCCATCCGTCCCCCCCCCCCCACTTCTGCTTGTCAGCTTAATAATGTGTTTGGATTTTTTTCCCCCAGTACTTCTCTAGCGTTGACTTCATTTCAGGCTTGAAGGGGGGTATTAAACTGTTAAAATTCCCAGTGGGTCAGTTGCCATCACAATCAGCTGAAAAGCTTCTCATCAAACGGTCTAAGTGTGGCACTTCAAGCACCAGCAAATAAAACCAATGGTTTTCAATAAAAACTTCCCTGCTCTGTGCCCTGCTGTCCTCCCCAGCTCTATTGCTCTATGATCTTGATGGGCATTTCCATCTCAGGATGTGTAATTTCCTTTGCCTTCCAATTACTAAGCAGCAGAGCTGGCAACAACAGGAGTGATTGCTTTCATTACAGGTTGGGTTGCTCTTGCCTTTGATTGTAATGATGTGAAGTTGAATTCATGCTGGAGCTCTTAGCTTCCTTCCTGTGCTTCTGCAATTGTGAGCCCTTCTCTTCTGGTTGTTACCCATGTGTTAGTACTTTCTTCCTCAGATGGGCCTAATTTTGCTTTCTGGTCAGGGCTGTTCTGGTGTTGGTTAGAAGAGTAAAGAAATACTGGAGATTCACTGTGGGTTAGAAACCCACCTGCTAGTATGCCAAGAATCCTGGCTTAGAGGGTAGATGGGCTGTCCAGAGAGCAAAGAGTTCAGCTTGGAGTTGTGTAGCAGTTCTCAAGGGGTCTTGCCAAGTGATTAGTTGATATATCCTGTGAACACATTTTTTTTTTTCCTGGCCTGCATATACAAGGTCCAAGTATTAAAACTTGCATCCTTCTGAAGGCTTGGCTTTTTTAAACAAAGACCTTCATGTGAAGGCAGCTTGGATCTTTCCCAAGAGGGGAGGCTGCTAGGCTTCTTTCTCTCCCTAGAGAGCCACTCCTAAGTTCCTTACATTCAAGTGCGGAAAGAAGTCGTGTCCCTCTGAGCTTGCAGATTCCAGCTGGAAGAAAACCTGCTGATGTTATCCAGTCTTTGACACAAACTCCACCTTCCTGTCACACAGTCCTAATTAGGAAGCTGTCTTTAATACTCTGTAGTTTAGAGCTGTCTAAATTAAACTTAAAGACAGATATGGTATTTTAGTCAAAAAGACAAATCCAAAGACACTTGAGCAGAAAGGAAAAAAACCAAACAATGTCTCACTGTCACCTTATAAAGTCCGCTGCATTTGTTTGGACCTGAATAAATTATTCTGAGCAACAGAAATACTTTTCCTGTCTTTAAACACTTTCCCAAAGGGACAGGCCCTCCAGATGAGGAGTCGTGGTGCAGGGAAGCAATCTCTTATTCCTCCACTGCATTTGTACTTTGCTACATTGCTTCAAAAGGGTGGGCTGAAGGTTGACTCTGTTCTACGTTACATTTCAGCCTGTTTTTCAGGAGTGCGAGGGGAGGGGCTGTATCAGATTGCATTCTTATTTTTTCCACCGTGATAATCTTAAGCAACACAGTTTGCTATGCCAGTATTTTTATATACCTGACGAAACAGTAGTATTTGCAAGGTGGAAGAGTTGATGATAAACGGAGATGGCAAAAGCTGAAGGTGAACTGGTTGGTAGGATAAAAGTGGAATGAGCCGCACAGCTCCGGAAGTGTTAGCATACATTGTATATAGAATTGCTCTTTCATTGAGCTGGTTGCTTAGCCACTAAAATTAAAAATCTCTGGGAATTTTGCATGAAAGACTACAACATTGTAGAGGTCTGGGATAAGAATAAAAGATACTGGAGACCAGGAGACTGAGTGCTAGCAGTGGGTGATTGGCCCACTTCAGGGGATAGTAAGTGGGTAAAGAGAGGAGGGAAGAAATATATGGTTATTAAAGGTCCCTGGTAAAAAAACACGGACTCAAAATATGCCAACTGCAGAAAACCTTTCGTGCCGGTCTCAAGGGGAATAGGTATTTTTTCAGTATTGCCTTCAGAAAGGAAGCAAGCATAGGATGAGATGAATGCAAGGAGGCAGAAGTGATGATGATAAGCCAAGCAAATTTTAATTATTTTGACAGCTTGCACAAACAAGAACCATTTGGCTTTATAGCTTCAATCTAGAAACTTCTGATGCGCTTGCCACTGAAGGTTTTTTCTCTTTCTCCATTAGTCCTGCCTTGATTTATCACAAGGGATCTTTCTGAAGAAGCAAATGTTACCTCCATTATGGAAGGTTTTTAAATTTAAATCGGTGGGACTTACCCCTATTTGCTTTGTCTGTGTGATTTAAAAATATAATGCAAGAAAAGATGTCTTAAAACATGCTTGAGAGTTAACTTATAACCAGGTTTTAAGAGGGGAACAAAACAGCCAAATACTGATCTCTAATATCATCTTGCTCTCACCTCCCAGTACCAGTGCCCTGATGAAGCCACTGAAGGAAAGAAATAGTCCTTTGTCTTTCTACATGGTGGGGGGTTGAGTTTTATGTAATTCTTGGCTTGGTGTTTTGGGGCAAACAAAGCTTTCTTGTGCATAAATAGGATTGTGTCTGGAGCCAGCCGGGTAACAAACCAATTCGAATGTTTGTAAATGAAGGAACACAAATGGAGGTTAATTTGCAGAGAGATGGGGAAGTAATGAAGAAAGAGTGATGGAAGTGGTTAGTTGTATAACGCTGGACAAGCCAGGCGCAAAGTGAATGGCCTGTCACATCTTGGGCACGTCAGCCAGGAAGGTTAGAGGGGGAAAAAGGCACTGTGCTAGAAAGCAGCACTTGCTCGCTTGAGGCATCTACCGTGGCTCTTTTTCTTGCGGGGGACGGATGCATTCTGGGAGCTCCAGAGTGGAGTCATCACCAGGATGTGTTACCGTGTCCCACAAGAATTGGCTTAATTTGTGTTTTCTCCTGCCTCTGTCGGAGTACGCAGTTGAGTTGTCCCCTAAGGTAGCTACATACATGCCTGCTACTGCAGCCTGGTAACCTGGTGCTGAATTGATGCATCACTGGAGAACTTCCCCTGGGATAGCTGGTATAGTAGGTTGGGAAGGGACATCTTTGTTCCCAAGAATATTGCTGCATTTTTTGCCCATAGTGTTCATTTTCCACAAGGGTCTAAATTGCTTTTCTCTTCTAAACGGCAGCATCTAAGCTTTTTTTTATGGTAGACCAGAACAGGATGTGTGGAGAATGAGCTTACTAAATGTGAAGAAAATCTTTGATGCCACTTTCTTCTTCTCTCCCAAGCAAGGCTTAAAATAAGATTAATGCAGATAAAGCCTTAGCTGGTGAGTTGCTGTGGTACTTAACTTTGTACAGCCATTCAGTCTCTCCTGGGAGAGTTGCTGTTCTCCCGGGAGAGACCATGAGGCTGCATCCAGATGAGTGGGGACATGTGGTTTGTGGCAATGCAGACCTGTCTGCAACACCACATACTGCACATGCAGGCATGACCCATGCTGTTACCTTGCAGCGCAGGAAAGGGTTGGACCCCCAGGAGATCCTGGGATCAAACCCGTGTCAAAAAAAATTGGGGTGATGCATGTGGTGGCAGTGCATGCAGCCCCAAACCACAACCTGACCAGCTGGAGCCATGGTCCAGCTGCCGACCAGCCTTCCTGCTATGACTGCAGCCCTGGGAGGCCCCCTGGTAAGGCTGCCTGGGCCAGCATGGTTGCTGGCTCCAGCCTCCCCTTACCCCACCTGGGGTAACCTGCCGTGCCCCAGAGTGCATGGCATGGGTGTTCCCTGGGGACAAGTAGCAGCGGCACAAGGTGTACTGTTGCTGCTTCTCTCTGGAAACAAATGTCCGTGCTCATCTGGATGCACCCTAAGCATACAGCTAG